TGTATGGCCTTCGCTAACATACACAATCAAACCAGAAACGTACAAATTATTTTTATTAAATGGAAAAAGGAAAACGAGTTGGTGAAAGTTAGCATTTTTAAAAGGAAATCTGGTGCAACTCCGAATAACATCGTATTATTTACTACAGTTTTTATTTTTTATTTTATTATTCAACAGAATTCTTCTTTTTTTTTTAATTTAATAAAAATAATTTGCACATATCTGGCTTCGTAGTGTATATTATCATTATGTTAGTTGATAGCGCAGTAAAATAGCTTTAAAATTAAAAAAAATCACGCTAAAAAGTTGAAAAGTTCTGAAGATACATTAGCAAATGTACGATAGGTTCGGTTTGTTTAAAAAAAAAGTTGAATTGCCCATAACTAAAAAAATAAAAAAATTAGACACACCCTTTAAATGGGTTTGCTGTTGAAAGCAAGTCATTTTTTTGTGCATTTAGACCAATAAGCGGAAGACAAATAAATATGCTTCCAGAAGTCCGATTTTAATTTTGAAAAATTATTTGAATTTCTTCGCTTCTAAAATTATTTAGGATTTACTCTCAATTTCTTTTTAATTTCTACTAACAACAATAGGTACTCACGAGAAACCTTGCATTACATTTTATAGTTTTTTGACCAAGCAAAACTTTTTTTATCGTTATTAGTTTTAAAAAAAACTTATAAAAATCGAAAATTTCATTTTCATATGCCTTTATTAGTTTAACATGAGTATTTTGAAAAATTATATAGTTTCTACAAAATGCTTATAAAAAAATTCAGTGAAAATTCCATTTTTACGGTATTTTTTTTTAGAAGTTACAATAAAAACCAAAATCGAGTTTGAGTAAAAATTCTCGTATTTTCTTAATTTTATTTCTTGTTTTTCCCTATGCTTATGGAAACTACTAAGAATTTCGACCTCCCGAATGCACCAACTAGATACCCATTTCCACAGGAAAAGTCATTCTGAAGTCGAAAATTTAAATATTTTTCACACTTCTATACAGTAACACAAAAAAATCCCAAAAAAAACATACTCTTCCTTAATCATCGCTCCCCTCAGAATGTATAATATTACATATAAGATTAAAGAATCTGTCGCAATGATACTCGGAAGTAAGTCGCTGAGCATTGGGCGTATGAAAATAATATAACGCATACGGTGAAACCTCCCTTAAAGGACACCTCCAAATAGTGGACACCTCTGAAAACAGAAGACGTTTTTATGGGAACGCGGACATTTTCACCATTTTTATATCGGGAAACCCCTAAATACCAGACACTTTAAAGAACGGAAACTTTTATGGTCATTTAATTTTTGGTTTAACAATTTTATCGCAAACAGAGTCATCGCGGAATTCATAAATAACATGTTCTGATATTCTAATCTAATTTTCGTACTGTATGGGCAGCAGTGAAGTGTGTAAGCGAATACATTTCTTCTATCCGGGGGCGGACAGGGCCGGCGGGAAACCGGGAACTTTCCCGGTGGGCCGCTGTTCAAAAATAATTTGTTATTATTACATTATTTATTACTTAAAATAAAATAGCCAATAGGTATAAATTCAAATGATGAATATTTTATATTTTCATATTATCATTAAGGCGGGATCCCACGGCGCGTGTATGAAAAATTGTTTACATTTGGTGTTTAAAAATAGATTTTAGGTTTTGGTTCGGCTGATACTCCATCAGGAGTTTGCGTATGATCAATAATTTGAATAATCTATTATTTTAGTAATGCAAGAAAATCTTTGCAATCAACCGCAAATAAGCATTAAAAATGTAAATACGTATCTATTACCTACCTAAAATTATTATTTTTCCCTAGTATTTTTTTTAAATAATAGGTATGCAATATGAATATAATTTATTTCCAAAGGAAAAATGAGTTAAATCTAGTTATAACTAATAAAAGTTAATATACTACAATATAAGTGTCATAATATTTTATATTTTTACATAAGGTATTAAATATTATTAATAATTAATAATTTATTATGTTATGATTAAATGACTTTTACCAATATATAATTTATTTGTGAAGTACTTCATTAATATTAAACAAAATTAAAATTACATATTGAAACTATTTGGTAAGTTTAGTTTAACAAATCTTAAGTTTCACACGAGTTCCGAACCCAACAGTCCCAAAAACCCCTGGCTAATAACTTCTTAGTTGATACTTGATGCCATAAACAATTAATGAAAAAAAAAAAATCTTAAGTTATTTTCTGGGAAAATTGAAAATGTGTAGAGGCTGCATTCATCATTGAATAGAACGTTGGTATATTTAAGTTTTTACATTTTTGTGATGACGAGAAATGGCAAGGGCCGGGTCAAAATATAGATTTCCCGGGCCAAAATGTTGCCCCAGTCCGCCCCTGCAGTTCTATCGATAAACTTCATTGTTCTCCAACGCAGTCGAATTAGAAAATTACTATGCATAGAGGTCTAAGACAAGCTCATTTTTTCAATAAATGTTAACCCTAGATTATATGCATTAAAAATATTCACGAGATTCCACGCACACTGTTTTTGACCGTGTTGATAGCCTACCTATTTATTTTAGCCATCATGACTCATGAGTGAAATTACTTAATTGAACTTTGAAGGAGGAGGGTGGTTTTTGGTAACAGTTGAATGTATTTAGTAGTTGGCACCTACTACTTTGAGTAAAACATTTCCGGTAGGTACTCATCAAAATAATTGGGAAAACAAATAAAAAACGAATAGCAGAAAATATGATATTTTATTAAGTAAAACCTGCAATTCATGGCAAAATCGATTTTTGCTGACTTAAAAAAATAACAATTGTGGAGACTTGTATTCATATTATCATTTTATATCGACATATTATGCAATTTTCAAATATTTAGTCTCTTTTTGATCTATCTGCAGATATATAAAACGTTAAGCTTTTATAGTGGAATTTAAAAAATAAAGTTTTATGTGTAAGGGCCACATACAATTTGTATGACGTCATTTCAGGATTTCATATTATGTAAAATAACAATTTCTCTTCAAACGAGTTTTGTTATTTTTTCATTCTTTGTCATTCAAAAAATATTATCTGTACGACTGTACCTATATATGGAATTGAAGATTTTGAGTTTTCACTTTTTTTTATTTTATTATTATTTACTGTTCCTAGAGCAGTAAGTAGTAGGTACTTACACAAAGCAATTTTCAAAATATTTAGTTTAATTGCATGCTAATAGGTAGGTACCTCTTTCATAGTAATAATATTGTAATCACTAATCTATTCACATTTTACAGTTCTACAGTAGATACCTATGTAGCTATTTCGGTATTGATTTATAAGTTATAACCTAACCTAATAACAACTTATATCTATAGAATATAGATTATATAATATTATTATTAATATATTACAATATGTACAATATATATCATGCTTATGTAAATATTAAAATATGTAATTATTGCAATTTGATTTTGACATAAATTGGATTTACCTAGTTGTTACCTACCTATACCTGTATCCTATAGAAAATTATATTAATAATTACTAATAAAAATGTAAAAATGTTGGTACCTATACTAGGTATAGTCTCCACTCCACTCAGAATACCTAGTTTATAATATAGAATTATAATTATTATTGTTTAAAATTAAATTCAAATTTACCACATCCATTACAACTACCGGGACCTATGCCGGGACCTTTAGTTCGTTTAAATAATAAAGCCCAAGGGCATTTAGAAAAAAAAGTATTTAACAAATTTTAAGAAGATGTAGATTCTTGAACAGTTAATTTGTAACATCTGAAGGTGTACAGGATCAGCTAGTGCCTAGTTTGATATAAAATGAAAAATATTTTCCAAAGAAAAACAATAAAGTTTCAAGCCATGCATATTTAATCACACCCTGCATGGCGATTTTCAGGTATATAAAAACTTTAAGGAAGAATCAAAAAATGACCATAAGATGTTCCACACTTCAGCACTCTCCTTGGGACTCATACTCCTTAATCCAAGATTAATCGATCAATATAATTCTAGATTATCCTCTAAGACGTCTGAAGCGAAAATGGTGTAAACTTGTTAAGCTAATAAATAAAAAATAAAGTTTCAAAAGTGAATTCATAAATCCTGGATAAATTAATGATAATTTGAAGCTAGTTAAGACTTAGTTAGAATATTGTAAAAAAAAAAATGTAAATATATTGTATTTATAACTAAAACCTTATCAAGTATTCATGTATTATAATATTATGTCCATGTATAATCATTTCAAATTTCAAATACTATTATAGTATAATGTCTATAATCAGTAGTTACTCATATTGTACCTGCCAGGTTTAGGTATTATACCGAAAATCAGTCAATGTACCAATGTCCAATGCATCAATTTATAGTTCACAGACCAATATTTGTTGTGAATATAATAATATAACGTTCAAAAGTGTTTGGTTTAGTAGGTAGTGTAAATGTGTACAAATTAACTGTTGAATCTAAACTCTCAATCAGACAATGTAGTTGTGTAAGATTATGTTTCAAATTTTCAATAATTACCTTATACTAAAATAAACCTTTAATCTATTTAACACATGGCATAAAAAATAAATGCACTCTTGGTTGAATAGGGCTTATACTATAGGAGTAAAGAATTAAAAATGATAAATAATAAATCAAAATAGAAAACAATTTATTACAAAAGCTCTTATTGTCTGTATATTGATTCCTTTGTACGTAAATTAAATTATTCAAAGGGTCAATCAAACACCCTTCAAATACCATAAAATCCAAAAGTTGAACCTTTAACAATTTAATTATTCTAACAGACTTATAATTTTTATTAAAACTTAATTATTTAAAATACTTGATGATACGTACTATCAATTACATATTTTTATAAATTTATAACAAAACAAATAAAAAATAATAAGATATTTTTATAGTAAAATTCATACACAATATAAAGCATAAATATAAATTTTAAAATTGATTTTTAATTATCATATTTATACAAGTATAAAATGTACTAATTAATTTAAAAAATATTTGATTTGACGAATTAGTGTCATAAAATTGAGCTTATGTCATAACATATACCCTAATTTGTATTAAATTTTTGTATTGATACTTGTTGACCTAACAAAAATGAAATTTAAATGTCAACCAATCATTCACGTATAAGGCAACTTGGCTTTCTGGTCCACAAGTGTATACAAACTGAGCACTGATGATATCATACCAACTACACCTATTGTACCTGGACTTAACCTAATAAATCCTAAATTTGACAATGGTAACATTATATCACAGCTATTTTTTATAGTATCGATCAACAAGTCTTTATGACTACGAACAAATTGGACTGCTTCTCCAGTAAAGATGTCTTTAGGAGCTACTTTTCTATTCAGAGTGTTTAGAATTTTTTTTTCCAGGATTGCTCTAAATAAATTGTTCAACTCCACAACATCTCGGACAAGATTCATTACTATAGATAGTAGCCAATACCGATTGCTTGCTTGACTCCATCTCGATGCATTTATTTGTAGAAATTTATTTCTATTCAACCATAAACAATGGTCGCAAAACAAATACAAAGAATGAGCTATCTTTGAAAATGTCACTGAATACTTAATAGTTTTATCTGAATGATTAATAGTCCGCAACGCAGTATGCAATGAATCAATAAAGCGGCCAAATCTTAACACTGTAAAACAAAACAAAAAATATGATTAATATTAAGCTAGGTTAGGTAACTAATCACTACTAATGTATCAATTTGGATACTTTTTTATTCTTAAATTAATTAATTAATTATTAAGTATAAATAATAATTAACATACAAATATACAATAAAGTTTATACAAAATTCTATGTTATGTGTAGATTGCTTTAAATATGTTGTATTTATCAGTTTTAATTATTTTAATACATTTAATTTTATAATAATAACTACAACTCATCAAAACCTAAATAGGAACACATACTAATACTGTATGATATTGACATAATATTATGTAATAAAAAGACATCTTATGAAAAATTAAAAGTGTAATATAAATCTACGCATATCGGCAAAAGAAATAATCAAGCAAAATAATATTTACCTTTACGAAAAGCTGCCAAGGACTGTTCAAGTTCTTTGAATTTTTTAATCGATTTGACGTCAAAGTCGTTTTTTTCCATGTAATGCCATGTCGTTTTTGAACCATACTGTACAAACCTGAAAAAAAAACAATTAATATCCATTCTAAATATACTCTAATACATCCATCATTACAAAATCATAGTAGTGCCACAGCACTCATCATCGTCAATTATAATATAATATATACCATTTTCCAATACAATAATTGGTGTTTATTACCAGCTTAAACAATTTATATCTCACATTTTTAGGTCTAATGTTATAATTTATGTGTTGCAACTTACAACAAATTTAAAATTAAAATTTATTTGTGAGTGATCATGGTAATGGAAGTCTGCTCGTAAATTAACAGCATTAAAATTGCTTAATAGGCGTTGAAGTAATAATATCCACTGTAATACTTAGGGTTAAGTGGTCTAAGTTCTAAGCTATCCAGTCCTCATACTGGAAGTTGACACGATAGGTATATAACATTATCACTCTTCTGTTTATGCATTCAAGATCTCACAAACAAATACAATATCTGGCAATATTTTACTCATCTCTTATCCATAGCAAAGAAGAGAATATTGCTCTAGTAAATATTAATTAATAAGACACTAACTACGAGTACACTTTAAAAAGAATATATAACCACCTATTCAACTAATTAATTATATTAAGAGGATGTCGGCCATAGGCTAAGAGGATTATAGCCCTCTTGAAATTCAAAAAAAGTTCTGGCAGCGCCATCGTTACTGCAAGAAATAAAAAAAGGCTATAGCACCTTCATATAAATTCATCAAGCTGTGTCTATGATGTCAGCGTACAATTTGTATAATTTCTGTAAGCCAAGCGCAACAAATTAAATTTGTGTTCAGAGGAACCAACTTTGATTTGTTAGCTTGTTGGCTTTTTTTTTACAATATTTCAATTTTAAACAGATGTGAACATTTTTAGAATCGTAACATTTTACATGATTACTCAGGACTTATATTAACCTTGACACATCGTAAAATACCAAATGTAAAAACACAGGTAGTGTTCTAAACCTTGAGTTTAAAAATAGATCAATTAACTATTTAACTCCAATACTAAAGCTAACTGCACGACGCTGCACAAAACTCTGCCATGTTGAGGGTTGGTCAGTAAAAGAAAAACAATAGTGCGGTGAGTAGAAAATGAAGAATGCTGGGTATGCGATCAATTGACCTATTATATGAATCAATAAATTTATATAGATTGTTATTAAAAAATGTGTTTTCTAGATCATTCTCCGTCATCCATCGTCTGTCACCCCTCATATAATAATGTCGACGAGTGACGGTAGAAATAACTTTATTATCGATGTAGGAAAAGTACCTCGCTACTCTGTCACGGCCTGCTGTCTTGTTGTTCAGATCGACGACGAAGTTCATGTTTCACCGGTACACGCACAGGACTGGCAGGTGAGAATAATGGAAACTTGCTCCAGAAACGGTAAATTTAAATATTTTAACGAGGAACAACGTCTTCCAATCAACAGCGATCCGGTGACGAGAACGCGAAAACGGACGTTAAAAACCAAAAATTGCACACAACCATTTCCAGGTAGAGTCGTCAACGCGCGCTCGGCATTTTCCTACGAATTTACATTTATTAATATATTCTGACGAAATTGTATTATCGTCATTCGTCGTCATCGTCGTCAATCTTTATTCTACCATCGTCATGAATAAAGTTTGTTGATTATTATTCATTTATTCCAATATTATTGTTCCTCTTTTCGGAAACGGCGGGGTTTTACGCGACCATTAAAATAATATTATTATTTCGACACAACGTCGGAAACGGTTTATCATATGACGACGACGCGTTGTTTACGTTTTTTCGAGCTCTCTTATCGCGATAATTGCAGTCGTGCTACCCCCCTCCCACACTCGTTGTAACTATTTAATATTATATAGTAAAATGGTGTAAATCGGTACCTACCAAGGTGGCAGAGTGTACATAAATAATAAAATGTATATACCTTGGCGATTGCTCACCGCTCTATCATTATTATATTATATATAGGACATTAGGACGTATTTCGACTATTATTACTATTACTATTACTATTATTATTACTATGTTATTCTCGCCGCGGCCGCGATAGAGTTGAGCAACAAGTTGTTTTTTTGCTTTGCTTGCGTTTTGAGACTTTGAGTTGCAAGTTGCGATTGAGTGGTCGAAAAATTCGTATTTCTCATTCCGAATTCCGTGACGATGAACGTAAACAATAATTATCGTTTTTGAAAGTGGCACACGATGAGCTTCTCCAGCCAGATATTTCGTTCACCGGAGTACACGAGCTTCAGGTGCAACGTGCCTCTCAAGCAGATCTTACTGGACGACACCGGCACGAATAAGGTTTTCACTTTTTACCATTACTTTATATAATTTTTCATTATTATTACTACTGTGTTTTGTCGGACGTCACTTGCCCCTTTAACATAATTATAATAATATATACAGTAAAACCTCCCCCAACAGACAGGACTTCAGCGACCATAACTAAGTCTTGGTGTTTGAATGTTTCAATGTAATATGATAATAATAAGTATCTGTCAATTTTGTGTTAGAAATTACAAACAACTGTGTCGATAAATGCTCATAACTTGTGGGTTATAATTTGTCGTCTACAATATTATTATTTGAAATCCAACTATTGCAGGGATGGAGAGTGTACGACACGGGTCCACGTTCAGTTGAGACCCCGTTGGTGTTCTTGCATCCAGTTAGTGGACGGGCCGAAGTCTTTTTCAAACAATTGCTAACCCTCAGTTCAAAAGGCTATCGAGTCATATCAGTATGTGGTATTTATAATTTTATAACAAATATTAATACTGATTAAATTCTTAAATTAACTAATTGTTTTTTTGTCTAGGCTGAAAATCCACCTTATTGGAGTGTTACTGAATGGTGTGAAGGATTCATGCAACTGTTAGATCATATGGATATTAAACAAGTGCATTTATTTGGTGCTTCATTAGGTAATTAAATAGTTAATGATTTTAAAAATAATGGCACACACTAATTGTTTCTTATCTGTATAGAACGTTAATGTCTGATTGATCATAAATCCTAAATTGATTTTTAACAAATATTGAATGCCTATAAGTCCAATAATTTAAAATTATATTTAATTATTCATGATTAATTCTTCGAACATATGAACATAAGACTTAACATCTCTACTTGTTTGTACTAAGCAGTAACCATTTTAGAAATTGAAAAAATATATAAAATGTAATTTTACCGTAATACAAATGATGCCATGAGAAAACAATAGGTAATTGTCGATAACTCTTAATACTTGTACAACTAAAACCATTAAAAATATAAAATGTATAAAATGTTCGTATGTATTGATGAAAATACTACATGAGAAATTATTTTAACATCTTATTTCATTACAGTCAAAGTAGCTTGTAATTTGTCTATATAGCATAATTATATTGTGTCCAGTGCCAATACAATAAATATACATTATTCATAAATGCTATGTAAAGCATAAATTTCAGAAGTGTTGGCATTAATGAATTATAAAAATGTTTGTTTGTAAATGCATACAAAGCATATGTTCACTAGTGTTTTTAGTTCTCAAATATTATTTATATAAATTAAGAGTATAAATAATGCGGATACACAACACTTAATTGAAAGATGCTATTAACTAACCTACCAAAAATAACTTGGTGCAGTGATGATGAATTCAATGAATAATGATTTTTAAAACACATTTGTTGTTATAGTACTAGGTTTGTGTTATGATTGTCACCCTCTCCTTTCCTAAAAAAATCTGAAAAGATACCCCGGTATGAACTAATATCTTTAACTACTTTAAAATACATGAATTATAAGTTTTTGAATTATTACTAATTAATTTTAGCTTAAATAATATTTATAAGATTATGTGTTTTATTTTAGATACACTTAATCAAAATTATCAAATTATTGTTTTCAATTTCATAAGATTCAATAAATATTTTGTGTAAAATAAAATAAATTAAAATGTAATTATTCATATTAAACTTTGATAGTAATTTATTATTAAAGTATACTTGAATTATACTTAGTATAATTAAAATGTCCATGGAATATACTAAAAACATCACGATTGTTCCTTACATTATTGTACAGTCGGTCAGTTGCACAAAATTACTAAATATTTAAAAAAAATAAAAATACAAAATTAATCTTTTATTCTTGTTTATTTAACAAATCTGAAATAACTTTTTCGACTCCCCCCCCCCCCCAAAAAAAAAAAATACATATTGAAAATAATCAATCACTTTTATACTTAATGATTAATATTTAATGCATACATTTCTTACCTCAACCAGAATATAAGAAATTTCCTGGAGTCTATACCTTTTTTATGAGATTTCATTTTTAAACCTTCGGTCTCCATTTATTTTTTATGTGCCCAAACAAAAGTGACATCACAAATTATGAGTTTGTACACTATTGAACATATAATAGTTACAAATGTTGTGCAGGTGGCTGGTTTTTATTATGTACATAACAGCAGCATAGATAAGCATAGAAACTGTTTGCTATTGTTAAGAAGATTAAAAGATACTAAAAGTAAAAGTCAATACGAATAAACATATAGTAGAGATTTTATAGTTTGCCATTTAGATAAATTATGTATTTTCAGTAATTTTATATTTTACTTAGGTGGATTTTTGGCTCAAAAGTTTGTAGAGTTTTCTACAATTGTTCATCAACCTAGAGTGGTATCGCTATTCTTGTGCAACTCTTTTACTGATACATCAATATTCAAATATAAAGATGCTGCTGTTTTGTAAGTTTAATATTGTCTTTATGTAAAATAAACATTAGTTGTTATTACTTGTATGTAAAAAAAAATATGTATCCCTAAATGTATTTTTTTATTTCATATTAAATTAAATATACTTAATATAATTTTTAAATAATAATAACTAAATAAAGGCTATTATATTATAATTAGTTTTTTATACAATACACTTCCTTACTTATAAAATTATTTCAGTTTACCGTACAGTTAAGTATTAAATGTTGACAGCATTATTTTGTTTAAGCTCATTATTATGTTATTTTTAATAAATGATTATATTTCAATTTTTAATTTTTTTTCTAGGTTCTGGATTTTACCTGCAATGGTGCTCAGAAAAATGGTGCTATCAAATTTTTCATCAAGAGAAACATTTTATGATACCCGGATAATGGATTCAATAGATTTTATGGTTGAACTGGTGATTAGATTCTATCTTTTTAGATTATAGAACATATTTATATTGTAAAGATTAATAACTTAACTTTTACCATTTAGATTGAATCATTATCACAGGCTGATCTAGCATCTCGTTTGACCATAAACTGTTTGAATAGCCGCGTCAATACATCACTGATGAGAGGTTTAAAAAGTGTCACTCTTATGGATGTATTTGATGACTATGCCTTAGGTTCGCCCATTAAGGAAAAAATTTACCAGGAATATCCTGACGCTAAACTGGCTCAACTCAAGTCTGGCGGTAATTTTCCTTACCTAAGTCGCAGTGATGAAGTTAATTTACACTTGCAGGTAAATATACATTGTCAATATTATTTCTGAGTACATAATATTATATTCTAATTACTTTTTTTCAGATACATTTGAGGAAATATGATGGTACTCCTTATAGTGCAAGTGACAACATCCCCAATACAGAGTAATTCATACAGTGTATCACCAAAAACTGCTCAATATTTATCCATTATTACTGACCAATTTGCTGAATAAAAGTACGCTGTGAAACAGTTTGGCCAATTTATAAATACATAATATACATATAATTGCATTTAGTGACAGAAAAATTTTGAATTGTATCTCTGTAACATATTTTTTTAAGTCAAAACCTGTTGGAGACTACTAAAATACTATACTGCATAGTGTATTGAAATTATATGTGAAATGAGTGCTATCAAAAACCATGTTTTAAAACTTTGATGCTAACCCCCTTTTAAATGAGTATATTATACTAAAATTAACCACAATGTGAAATAAGTTGTTTAAACTTTTAATTCATAAACAGCATTTTGTATGTACATAATTGCTGTGTATTGTACTTACATTTTTTTTTTTATGCGGTGATAATATTTTTATTTTAAACTTAATTTGATATAGTTTTTCAATTGTTTTTAATTAATATATATATTTTGTTATAATTGTTTTTCTTAATTTAAACCAATTGAATACTCATGCATACTCCAAGCATATGTGGTGATATTTTATACTTTATATTTTTGCTATTATATAATAATTTACTATGAATACTGAATACAAATCTTATACCACCATTATTTTGATACAATATAGCCAATTTATTTTTGAATGTATTTATTTTATTATTTTTTTGATTAGTTTCCTTATTAGATATTTGGTGAGGATGGATTCATAAAAAATGTTATCAAAATAATTTGTGCGTGCAGTCTAAACGTCAACGATGTATGAAAAATTAAAAAAATGTATAAATATATTTATGATATTAAAAGACTTGAACAAGTAAACAGTTACTATTAATATAAGGTAGGTATACATTTTAATATTATTGTTTAGTTCATGGGCGACAATTGAAACTAATCTACAAAAACGAAATTGCTATACTTACATTCAAGCAAAGGTAATAGTATTTAAAAATATTGGTACACAGGTGCGGTATACTTATCTATACCATTTACATTGGTCCTTCATAGAATTCTGAGGATGGCCGTGCCGGGCATACCTAGTCCCACAGAATATCCCCTTGAAATTCAAGTATAACATTGAAGGTGCTAACAACCATTTCCATAGGTCATCAAAGTCTTGTTAAACCCACAACAGGCTCCAATATACTGCGTTGAATAAAATGAACGATGCTGGGAACACAATTCTGCTCTTCTCGTCGATCCAAATCGAAATCTGTTGGGCCGTAGTCGTTAGGCCACCGTGCAATTGACGTGCTGACTCTTCGGATACCTTGAATTTCACCTTGCCCATTGCTTTCATTTCCATCGTGTAGGGCAGTTCTGCGTTTAATTCTGCCGTACCCTTAACATATTTTACTGATTGTTATTAATTATAATAATATTATTATTTTAGGACAATAAGGAAGTATGTAGGTATAGAGGTATGCTGCCATACTAGTATAGACATAAATGTAGGGAGGTTAAGTTATAGACACTTCAGACTTATGAGAGTATAATTAATTAATTAATATTCATATTGATGAATGATGATGGCTTTATTTTGTGACATCTATAAAATTATGTTCCCAGGTATAGTGTTACCCACATTATAAAGGAAGGGAAAATTAGGTACGTGCAATGTTTTTCAATTTTACTTTAAAATGCCCAACTATTGAAGTCAATCCAATCCTTAATCCCTATAAATACCATATAGCGTCTATGAACCAAGAATTGCAAGAATAAAAATTCGATACTTGTCAAGTCTTGAGTCTGATACAAGTTGGTACGGTAAACGGTCTTTTGTTTAAAATGTAAGACGTAAGTACGATCTGGTAAAAATATATTTTTCAAAACGCAAAAACTTCGTACAATTATATAAAATATACATTATACATAGCCCATAGGTAAAGTATTTACTATTTTAAATATAAGAAGTAAGTTGGTATCTACTTACAAATTTAAACATTATTAAATTATTTTATGTTTAAAAGTAAATCAAAAATTTTATAAACAGTAGGTAACAGGTACCTATATAGAAACAAACCAAAAGTTTTTTTAATTTACTGGTTAAGTAACAACCAAACATTAATTGTTGCTATAATATTATATTTTCTTATGCGTACATTAACTTTCGAGGTACCTACAATAATTTAATGTTAGAAACTGAACAAAGCAAAAATTAAAAAAATATTTATAATTTATAATATTATACATACCTATTAGTAGGTATATTACCAAACTAGATACCTATACCAAATAATGATATTTAAGCTTGAATGCTCATGACATTAGGCTTTTTATAGTACTTATACTTATACTTATATTTTATGTATTATGTACCTATATAGCTTTATATGTATTATGTACCTATATAGCTTTATATGTATTATGTACCTATATAGCTTTATATGTATTATGTACCTATATAGGTATATATGTATAATAGTAATTAGTACTATAGTACAAAGTTCACACTTGTGTTCGCACTTCTATATGTCGGTACGCATCGCTGGTATACCGCACGTTTAACTTATTGAACCGATACGTATCGATGCATTCGAATTTCTTCCTCGAAAATCATAAATACATAAAATTCTAATGTTCTTACTTCCTAACTACTTAGGTATAATAACAATTCAAAATTGAAGTATTTTATTTGTTTATCAAAGTGTGATGACAGACAAAAAAATTACTTATAAATACAAATAAACACGCATGAAGCGTGCTATGATGAACATAGCGTAAGACTAATAATTATGTCGCTCTGATTAGAATCTAAAAGACGAGATTTATACAATATTTACCCATCTTTATAACATTAGTCATACATCATAATATATTAGTCATCAGAGTCAATAGCCATCACACATCAGGCGTCGAGATAAAAATATCTTTAACATACATGTAGCATGTAGCCATGTAGGCACTATAGGCTAGTAGATAGGTATAGGTACTCTTTAGTTTTTAATGGAGTAACTGATGATATATATTATTATATTATACCTATTTTCTATTTATATAACACAATGTGTACCTACTAGATTTATGCCCTAACTACTACCTGTAGAAGAGCTATAGTAGCACCTACGTATTTAATACATAAACCTGTAGGTTACACATTTTCTTTTGGAGAGTTTTATCGATCCTATCAAAGACACGAAACCGGAAACGTAGTACATATTTACTATGTAGTGTACTTCTACAGTTCTATATAATATGTAACAGTTAAAAAAATAGTAAAACTCTTGTTTAATCAGATATCATCTCGATTCTCGACATACGTTGTAAATGAGCACAAGATAATTTAAGGGATCAACATTTGAAACAATGGAAAAAAAACAAAAAAACAATTGAGCACCCTCATACCTAAATAATCATCAAATACGGACTTTTGCTTTTAGTTGTGAATTAAAAACTTAATGAGTAATTTATATAATATTACGCATACTTACTAAGTACTAGTATACTATCGAAGTAAGAACTATTATTTTTAAAATGGTGGTTTTTAAGAAATCGTAATGTTTTTTCATTATAAGTATTTATAAACAATCGACTCGAATCATTTTCTGTTATGTTATATTGTTGTTCTCATTTTGTGAATAAGCCATAAGGTATTACATACACATAGGTAAATCGTTAATTATAATATATTACTGATTACATTTTCAATGCTAATACATTTATGTAATTATGTCACAATACTAAAAATCATAGGACCTTGCCAAAAAAGATAGTTAGGCTTAGGAAGAAATAAGTTCTGTTTAAACTAGCACAGATGTAAGAACTGCTAAAAATAATGCTAGTAAGTAGATAAAGCTCTGCTGTACATTAGATTTTAAATGTCTAGTGTCTACAGTCACTGTAATGGATATATTAAATCTGAATTCAATGATATAATATCATTTTATAATCGAAAAACTAGTCTGAGCAAACAGATTCTTAATTTACATACGTAATTTCGTCCACATTTGAACTTGAAATAACTAAAAAAAATTATGTTTATATATTTTTTAGATTTTTTGGTTTTAGAATAAATTATTACTTACATGGAACCAGATATAAAAAGATATAAAAATTGAATATTTTACACAACTTTAACTACAAAATAATTTGTTATTTTTCAATGTGATAAATGTTATCAAAATGTAAACTTTCAACGCTTAGGAAAAAATCGTGCTGTTTTATTTTTGTGAAATTTCAAATAGTTACATAATATATTATCATTTAATATATAAATTAAAAAACCATATATTCCAGTTGTTCATTGTTGAGATTTTTACTATTTAAAACTTAATAAGAGTGTCCTGTAGGTCACATGCACGGATCCAAAGCAAAGATCTGGGGGGGAGGGGGGGCAACAATTTTTGTACAACACAAATACAATTATAATAAATTATTATCCTTTATTCTCAATTTAACAATTTTGTTATAAGTAGGCATCAATGTGATAAATAAAATAATATTTTTATATTAAATAACAAAGTCTAAACGCCTTTTTACATTGTCACTTTTTCCAAATCTGTCAATTATTTGGTCAATGCTTATTTCAACTTCCCTATGATTATTTAGTAAACATAACGAAGTTAGGCGATCCTTTTGAATTCTAGAGCGTAGCCAGGTTTTTACCCGTCTCAGGGTAGAGAAACTTGTGATTTTAAATATAGTAATATCAGGATCTGTAGAATTATAAAAAAATATTTATATGTCTTATGTCTGGGGGGGCTGGGCCCCTAGCCCCCCTGGATCCGTCCCTGTGTAGGGATACAAACTTCTGTTTTTCAAATGACCCCCCCCCCCTTTATTGAATATTATTAAGTGCCAATTTTTTTTTGAAATTTTGATGTGCCTAATTCGAACTAGTAGACACTAGGGACAATTAGTCCTAAAAGATGGTTTTACAAAAATGTAAAATGGATATAAATATGTAATACTGGATCTAATATTTATTAAACTTTATTAAACTATTTTACAAATTATAAATGCTGATAGATTAATATCGTTTGCTAACATTTTCAAACTGATGTAGCCCCCAATCTTCCAAATTCTTTATCGTGGACGGCAGGATATATTATCCTTAGAACACAAAGTTAAATAACTCAAAAACTACTCGTTCAAATTTTGATTTTGATACGTTAAAATGATCAGGAAAAATATCCACTAAATCATTTATATTGGGAAAGTGTAGGGGGTTCTTATTTGAAAAAAAACAGAAATATATAATATCCACAGGAGACTTCATAACTCTTAAGTAGTAAAAAAATCTTTGAAATTTGAAAATATGGTCTTTATAAGTAGGTAGATAAGTATGTTTAAAAAATCCAAAAAACAGATCTTAAACAACCGAATAAATGAAGAAAAAAAATAGGGTGAGTTTGAGCATGCTTGGTGAATTATCCCTGTACATATCAATATATCACACATGACACATCCATACCTATAGAGCTATGAGTATAGCTTTAATGCTCTACCTATAGATACTTAATCCATCATATACAGTACAGCTGTTGAATGGAAAAAAGAAACGGCTCCACGCATGCATATTTAAAAAAAAACTTGTGTCACAATAAATCTGGAAATATTTTGGCACAACACTATAATTGTAGGTACACAAACGTAGCCACATAGTGACGGCGACAGTCGACACTCGACAACAATAAAGAACAACTCGGCCCGAACCACTTATTATTATTGTTCTGTGCTATTATACCGACTATACCCATAGGGAATAATATGCATGGAAGAAAATGTCTTCGTTCTATAAGTATATTATATTATACTCTGATAGATATTTATACTATACCTACATTGTTCTGTAGCCTTATTCCGTCTATAAATAAACTGCCGGCTGCGATGGGTTGTCGCGGTCGGTCGCTATTGACTATCCCCTTAGACATTTTGCTGGCTTTGATCGATGACTTAAACATTTGTTTGTTGGATTTGCTTTTCAACGCGACGGGATGGCATCTGAAAAAATAACGATTTCACATGTACACGTGTTCTCATAGCCAATACATTACATTTTACACAAATAATAACTAATAATAATATCCGGGGCAGTAGGGTATCTGCCATGCACACCCTACATCAATAAATTATAAAACAAGGAACTCACTGGAGATTCGATATAGGTAGGACGTAACTGGTACTAAGATTCCTATACAGATGTGCGCAAAAAGAATTTTGGTTACCTAGTTATAGCCAGTATATTTAGCCGGCAGCTATGGTAGAGCCGGCGTAAGGCATGAGTAGGTAGTGATGTATTCACACAGGGTGGCATTATAGCAGGGGTTGCAATACGGCTAAAATGACAACCATGCAAGACCAACAACAGTGAATAAGGGATTTCAATCTCCATGCTTAAAACTTAAAGTTATTTAGGAACATAAATAATACGGAATAGTTCAAGATAATGTAATTTCCTAAAATACTCATGCAGAGGGCATTTTCAATTAGTAGAGCTAAGTCACGACACCAAACACCTTAAAAATGGCCATTTTCAAAAAATAATAAAAAAATAATAACGTTATATCACTTATATGCATGATAAAGTATAGCTTTGTTCCTAAAAGTATTCTCTTAACCCCCACCCCCTTCCATGATCCAGCCTGGATTATACTACTGCTCTGAACCACTGGTACTGAACTTCTAATATTATAAATTTATAAGCATCTAAACCTTGAACTCCCTCAAAAACATTCACGTATCCTGCAGTAACCTGTGAAAAAGTCGGTGTTCACACAAATATATTATATTATGTCATACACTCACCCGTATCGCCATATCGTGTTGACAAAGGCAAATTCGGCCAACGAGAGAAATATGAACGCGGTGCAAACGATAAACCACAGGTCATTGGATCTAATATAGGACACATTAGGTAGCTTAGAACCTGTGTCGACACCCAGCTGGAAGTATGTAAGCATTGTGCTGGTACCTGCAATATTAACCTTAGTGTCTTGGTTACATAATTTAATAACAATTATTATATGCATAGGTTACACTATACATTATGATTATGGTTGGGAGCACATGAGTTGCACCCCGTTAAAGGTATACTGCAGGAATTGCGTCCCAAAAAGTCCAGGTTAAATACTAATCAGGGGTTCTTACACAACAAACAAAAATAAATAAATAAATAAATTATAAATATAACCACAAGTCAATCAAAATCAGTACATTCCATAATATAATAAAATAAATAAATAACAATTTTAATAATATAATGATATTAATCTAAATGTCAGTCAAAAATTGGGTTTATACTTATTAGATAAGCTTTTTACAAAACCTTTTAGATTTTCAACAAATAAAATGTTGTTTCCTATATTGATGTATAGAAATTAGAGAGCTAAAGCCAAGGTCTTGCATCTTCCGCCACCTTTATTGTCCTAGTTGAAACCAGCATCCTTTTATCAATGTTTCTGGCCAAATTTTCTGAATTGCCTTGTGAATAGAAACTACTAAGTCAACATAAATTAAATCAATCTTAAAATGTTGGCACACTTTTGAACATTCTGAATCAATAGCTTTAAATGCTTCAGAGTAAGCAATTATTTATTTATCTTTTAACAAAAAATATACTAAAGGCACGTAATAATTGTTAAAAAGGCCGTAAACTGTAAATAATTAGCAAACAATTTTTGTACAATATTCAAACAAGTCATCAACTATAGTTTAATTTTACTTAAAAGTTCGATATTGTATTTACATTTAAACATTACTATATCATTAATAGATCATTTAAAAACAAAAAAAGTTCATTTTCGTTTGTAACATGGTCAATATCATTTATAATGCTGAATGGAAAACGAAAAACGAAAAATTCGTTGACAATTTTGGTAGGTATAGTACTATAGTTGTTGACTTCGAGCTCGATATACATTTTTTATACAGCGAACATCTGTAATTGTTAATGTATTTTTAACACTAACATCAATACATTATTTTTAATGTTGATGCATTAGTTTAGCTTGTCTTTCATATAACTCTTGTGTACCTTTTCATTTCAGAGAATTACTTACAATTTGTCGATTTATTATTGCTTCAGCTAGTGCATCGTGGTTGCGGTCAGTCACGTTAAGTAAAATATCATTAATTTTCGTCAATTTTGAAATATGCCGTACGTTTTAACGGACTTACGGTACATTCCCAACGTTGAATATTATTAGACGAACATTTATTTAAACAGAACTAATAACTGTCAGTTAATTTCAAATCCTTTTATTTGTCACTTCCATTTTAAACATGTAAAAACAAGGCAGTTGTCACAGATCACGTACTACGTAGGTATACGAAAAAGTAAAAACTGAGTAATAACGAAGACTTGAACTGCAGTAAGAGATATAGGTATTAAACTCAACAATTATTAACAGTAGATACTATGCCTAATCAAGTATTTTATATCAGCTTAGTAAATCCACAACATTGTGAACTAAATGATGTATATACGTGAATACAAAGCTTTACCGATTTAGTATAGGTAAAATAGAGGGAGTGTTTCATTATTCATGATGACGATAAACGAATTTGCTTAGTTATTATTGCTTCAATCATTAATCAGGAATCGGTGACAAAATTCAATCCATTATACTAATACTACTACCTACCAATATAGCGTGGGACGCATTATTCGTGTATACCTTTTTACGGGATGCAACTATATGGTTATACCCAAAAGTAAAACGTTAAAACAGTAAGCGGAGTACACAGCAATTTTATAATTGGATGTGACTATGTGAGGGTTATAAAAAAAATATTTTGCAATGCTATCAGTAATCGTTTTTTTTTTTACTTTTATCCATTAAAATATTCGTTATTTTATTTTATTACAAATATATTAATATTGATTGTTATAGGTATGAACAAAATATGTCAAATTACAATCTGAACTTCAAATGGTACACAAGTATCTAAGTAGCAACGGTCAAAAAAATAATAAGTGTTAAATGTTCATAAGTCTATATAGTATTAATTTATCGGTGATCGGCCCGGTTCACTGTAATTTTTATAATAATATTAAAACACCCACTACAATGGAATTAGGTATCTACAATAAAATGTGTTGTTTTTTTTTTTGTTAACAGAATATAATTTCAGATATCATAGTTCAATAAATGTATGTATAAAAAAAAACATAGCTTAAAATGCTTAAATAATATAAACCTACCAGGTACCTATACAACCCACATGGTGCATAACTTTACTGCCACGTTGGCGGTATACATATTAGATATTGTAGGTATTGCTTATTGACACTGACAGCTGTTTTTGTATAACACAGCAGTGTATGTGAATACGTAGAAATTCGTTTTTGTCTTTGGTTACATTTTCACAACACAATTTTAAATTTTTATTTAGATTAAAATATTATTAACCATTTTAAGCCGGTATAGTCGAATTGCACTTATTACCTAAAAAGAAATGGTCTAATTTCACTCGGGTAAAATGTAGGTAGAGGTCGAACTTTGCTCGTTCAAAAAAAGGAGTTAAAATTCTAAGAATCTTGTACAGATTATTTTGTGTCAACTATCCCAGAAAACCAGAATTGGTAACCATTCAGTTGATAGTTATATTTCTAACAATGGACTTTTATATATTTGTATTTATTGATTTTTAAGCACAATTACAAATATAGATACTTGTGTTTTAATGCAGAATACTCACACGAGACTTTCAACTACACGGTATCAGAAAAAAATTAATGATATTAAAAAATATATTAACATATATGCTCAAAATCGTAGTACCATTTACCAGATAAGAGTTTTTGAATGCAGTTTGTTATTATTACAAAAAATTATAAAAATTTAAAAAAAATGTATAATATTTGACGATTTAAAAAAAGAATAAGAAACTATAAGTAGGTACCTATATATTATTACAACAAAAAATGATCAAAATTAGTTTTAAAAAAAAGTTTATAATATTTGATGATTCAATACGTAAATGTTTATAATATTATAATAACATAATGGACAACGGTAGGTACATATAAAACAATTTAACCATTCCAATGATTAAAATCACTGTCAGACCTATAAGTGGGAAAGGAAATGATTGTTTTTTAAACGTTTAACCACTTCAAATTCATGATATTTTTGTTGGAATACCATTTTTGAGCCCAAGTGCAGTTCATCCACTACCTGATTTTTACCCGAGTGCAGTTCGATCATTATCTTTTTTAAGCCCAAGTACAGTTCGACTAAAATAAGTGCAATTCGACCATACCCTTTTAAGCATTATAATTTCCATTACTAATAAAGTGAAAAAAACCTATCATGAACACCCCTTCACCGTGTACGCCACTGAAAACACGTCTTTCGACCTTTGTAAGTTTGTGCTTTGTGCATTAACACGCGGCCACCGCTCAAATTAAATTCATGGGACTCATTTTTTTTTTGAAAAAACTTACCGATTGCGACACGCGCAGGCGTCGCATCGGGTGCCATCCAAAACGACACCCACGAAACCGTCACCAACAATATGCCAGGCACATAATAGTCCATGATATAGAACCCATACTCCCTGGCTAGTAGGAACGTTAACGTCAACGATGTGTAACGGTAAGCTGTAATGCGAGACAAATATGCTTTGTTAAGTGGTTAACTTAGGTATTTAACATAACTATAAAGTTACAACATAATACAAACATAAATACATTATATACATACGTCGTACAGCTATACAGGCATATATGAACTACGAGACATTACATTTTTTAGGTACATACAATATATTATACCATGTTCGTGTACAATATACTACATTACAGAAGTGCAAATTAACAGTCTATAACAGTTTTAAAATGGTGGCCTTCTAGGTACACTTGACCAGTTTTGTAATTCCTAATCCATATTAATCCGGGCCCTAATGAATAATGGTTACCTATAAATGATCATGCACGGGTACCCATAGGTAATAGGTATTGCTTGTAATAGGTTGAATTTTAGTATTAAGTTTTGTATGGGGCTCGCAAAAATATTTAGTAAAAAGGTCCACAATTGCTGGATGTGGGGGCCTAGGTAGGTATAACAATTTAATTTTTTTTACAACTATCAGGTTAATTTTATTTTTCTATAAATTAATAGGTAGTTACTGAGTTTAAACCGGCAACCGGTGTCTAACAGTACCTATACGGCTATACATAATGGCATTATGAATGTACCTATCTAATGCAAATGTATTATATATACATAGACATAAAAGTACTTACTAGAAGTCGGGTCCAGAGAAATTGGTTCGACGTAGTGTTCAGAGCTGTGCGGTATTATTTTCAGCAATTTGTATTCCGTCAAATAAGGCACCCACGAGTTATCATTCAGGGCTGCTGTGACCGGCGATTCGTCTTCCCATTCAAGCACCAATTGTGTGGTATCATACCTCCCTGCAACCAAGTTTGTCACAGAACACAGTCGGGTTTCATTCTTCATATTATTATAGGACATAGGTACATAATATTATTTGGGCGATAAGCTCATATGTCATGTATGATGTATAATAAGGCTGAGCATTAATAACGAGTATACAGGCCTAAAGTTAACTCAACTTATTGATATATAGGTAATATATTATTTGAGTTTTATTAACTTAACTTATTGACCACTGCGTCAACATACAAGTAACGGCATAACGCAATATTTTTTACTGCTAAAAGAATATTTTTATGACTGTCGTTCCTGACAAATCCTGATTCCTAATATTAACTATACTATTAGGTAGCCCTCAAATGTTATCAACAATTATTCATTTTAGATATCTCTAACCTACATTTATGGCTCAATTATGCAAAACTAAATTTAATTTTAGGACTTGTATGAATTTTGTTATATTTGGATATTGTACATTCTAAATTTAAAATATACTAAACCAAATGCAAGAAAATAAATATTTTCAAAATGATATAAGATATAGGTACCGTTCTTAGAGTGAAACACTTTGTCACTTTGAATTATATTTTATTATACATTAGTCGAGAATAAGCCACGAGGAGGGTTCTAACACCTCTGCATTTAATAATAATATTATGTATGTACGATATACTCATATTATTATAATATAACAGGCTACACGTGGCGTTTTGCCCTTACAGGTTTCCATGATCAAGTGACATTGTTGGCGGTCGAACGGGAATCTGCCTAGCTTCACCCAACAGAATACGGATGTCTTCAACCTATAACACAGCACAGGTAAGCCAAGGATACCGAATGCACGTGGTTAACAATTATAAACGTAAATACGTAATAATATAATTTGTTAGTGACAATATATTATCAAGAATCCAGCTGCCACACCTGATCGATAACATCACGGTCCCGTCCGGTAATACAGTGACCATCAGGTCTTCGGTCATGTCGTCCACCGTCAGTGAATGTTTCTCGTTGGTGATGTACACATTTGGTATCCATATTCGCTCCAATACTCCCTTTTGGCACACCACTTCAGAGGAGTCCATCGGTGCTAAATTGTCAAATGCCAGTCGGACGTCTTTCCACCGGAATTGTAACAGTATTCGCACTGTGAAGTCCTATGAATCCAATTTAAAGTATATATACCTAAGTTTATCCATTATTATATTCGTATTTTTAATGTTGTAAGTAATTAATTTTCTCTTATGTCTTTTGTGGTATAAATTACAAAACCAAAAATACAAAATAAAACTATTCCCCACATACTAGTAGGTTCTGAAATGAATAAGAACCTATGTTATATTACATAATATAAATTATTATAATAAACTAGCTGATACCGTGCACTTCGTTGTCCGTTTAAAATGCCAACTCTATATGAGACTCGCTTGTGATAATGCGAGCAGTATATTATCAAGTAGGCAATCCATCTACTTGATGCATACTCTATATTATAAATAATATTATGTTTTATTTATTTATTTATTTTGACTGCGGAAAAGCCGATGCGAGATTAGTAGACAATGTGCGAAAATTCAATTTGATACATGATATACCTCTTATATACAATATACATCTTATACCTGATCTGCCCGATTAACCACGACTGGCAACCAATAAACAAAAAAGAAATACCAATTTCTACTAAATATATTGATATTTCTCATATAACCATCAATAGCAATCATTTAAAAACAAAAATTTCCTTCAAGAATTTCAAAACCCCTGTTTTATCAAGGGTAGGGCTTAAAAAATACTGTACGACATATTCTCATACCTACTAAACATACAAAAAAAAAAATATCATTAAAATCGGTTGAGCCGTTTCGAAAGAGTGAAACCACAAACACCGTGACACGAGATTTGTATACACTATAAGATAATACAATAAAACTTAAATACTACATAATAGGAAGGGGGACTTTAGTCTATATCATAATATATTAGTATATAAAACATTATATAGTCACCACATCAGTGCCGGATTTAACCATTGTGCCACTTTAAGCACTAAATAATTTGCCGCCTTTTAATACGGGTGCGGCATATAAGTCGGTTCCCGCTGTTTTGTTATCGCAAAACTGCTTATTATTGTTATTAATTTATAATTAATTAATTATATTATAAATCTATATAAAATATACATATTTAATTTGCTGTGTTAATTGGGGAACCGACTTATGCCGCACCCTGTATAAATATTTTTCTAGTCTAAAAAATGTTATTAAAGCATACAATTATAGTTTTTTATTTTTTACTTAAAATTTGAATGATGAACAATAAAAACATACAACTCTACGATTATGAAATTGGAAAACATAAAATATAAATATTACCCCAATCCCATTGGCCTAGAAACATTTTATAATTAGTTTCATTTTATTTTAGTTCTAGTTCCATATAGTAAAAATGTATATATACTATAAACTATAAAGTATATAAATATATATATATATGTACAGACTATAGGGTAGGCTATACAACTATAGACTATGGGTTCATTCCGACATACTTACAAATATGCGTCAATAATTTGATATAATGTTATAAGAAGTTTTAATTGTCAAAATATTATATTATAACGTAGTAACGTACCAGGTTTCGCGGGTACACGGAAGTCAAATGGTAGACATGAATCCTAGTGGACACGACGATTGGATTGTGTGCGACGAGTTTTCCGGGAGCCACTGTCTTGTCGTACCGACAAGGATCAGTCAACCATCGTAGTATTTTCTCCGACGACGGCACTTCATCGTTGTACTCGGCCCCGCAAGTTTTGTTTGGCCTAAACAGGAAACCTTTGTTATTTAATTTATGAAACGAGTTTACTTTGAACAAAATAGTTGAGCAATGAACTTTGTGACTCTACAAATTTGTTACTATAGAACCATGGAGTGATGAGAATAATACCCTTACACCTATTCCTAGACATCCTCCGACACAAAGATAAATAACTCAAAAGTTACTCATACGAATTTTGATTCTGATACGTCAAATTTTCAAAACAATTATCCACTGAATAATTTACAATTTAAAAGGGTTCTCATTTGCAAGACCTAAGTTTGCATCTTCAAGGGAAAACAGTACAAAAAATCTCAAGCATTTTAAAATATAGTCTATTTAAAAATTCCAAAACCAACTTTGAATTAACTGCATTATTGAAGAAAGAATAGGCCAAGGGAGTGGGCATGTTTGGTGAATCACTCGGTATATATAAATATATAATATATACAATGGTATACATTTATTTGACAATATTTTACAGTATTCATCGATCTACTTCATGAAACATATCCGCATCATAAAGTCAATATCTAATACAATTTTTAGACGATTAGTCAATCATTTTTTTTAAATTAACATTATTAAATACATTTTACATTAAATATGTTTTTAGCATTTTGAAAGCAATTTTATGATGTGGATTTCCATATTGTGTAAAATATCTATATACATTCGTATTAATACAGGTGCTTACTGCTTAGGTAAGTAATGATTTCTAATAAATTTAATTATTTTTACATATTTTATAAAATTTAACGATAATTATTTTGAAAAGTTTTCGCGGAGTTAGGTACCTAAATACTAACTATTCGCTTGTAATCTAAACAGATATTTGCTGTCAGCTGTACCTCAACACCTGCTAAGATACAATTATATACTTATATGAATTATTTATGCACTTTGTAAAAAAAAATTAAAAATAGAAAAAGCTATTTATCCTAATTCCTAGACTATTTTTACAAAAATATTTAGTGTTTATTTTAGTTTATATTATGCCTAAAAAACACATTTCTTCGAGTATCCCGACTCCCGAGAGTGTCCCGTTTTTAATTTTTATCTTTTTCATAGCTAACATGCTTCCGCAGTCTTATCGACAAATTATATTGAACAACCGAAGTACACAGCAGTGTCACAGCTATAATAGGTACCTATTTAAGATAAACTAGAAACTTTTAAGATACATGAACATTTATGATGATGAATATGTTAATATTCAAAGTATAATACTTTTTATACGTAATTTTTACTGCTAATTACTATAACTGTGCGGCAACGGTGGAGAAAGAGAAACTACATTTTTTTTTAACTTTGGTAATAATTAAGCACGATTACAACTTACTCATTTTCAGTAAATAAGTACTAGTGAACTGTTTACGCCAATATTAAAAAAATTATGGCGCTTACTACTCACTCAATAATTAAAAATGGCGTCTACCTCAAATTTTGTAGTTTACACGTAATTTTAAAATTGTTTTCATTGCTGTCGTTTACAGCACAAAGTTTGATCATTGGCAACATGTTATAAAATAATAGGATCACTAAATGAAAATAATGTATGAATTCGGTAGAACGTCGTCCACAACAATATATACTATGTAGTATCACTTGCTACTAAAGTGTCGCTTATAGCAAATAGCCTTTTAACTGACGATAATATATATATATATATACTAATGTTTATTTTTAAACATTTATTAGAATTGACACAATTTGTAACATTTTTACAATAAACACATGCGAGTAAGATAATTTGGCTATGAATGCTAAAGAGTAAAGGGTAGTAGCTACCCAACAGTAACACTCGACGATCGGGAAACTACCATTATTTCCATTAAAGTAATTTATTTTACCATTAGCCATTCGTAATAAAGTAGATCGAATTAATTTTTGAGAAAAAATTGTATTGAAAAATGTCATTGTTTCTATCACCCAAAAATAATGTTTTTGAATCACAACCAAAAAACTAAAAACCATTCTTCGATTAAATATCAAATTTCGTCCAGATTTGAATTTAAAGTTTCTACAAAAAATAAGCGCTGTTAATATATTTTAAAATATTTTGGATACAGTATGAATTAAACTTATGAGAATACTTCTTTTACATTTGTAATCCTGTATTCCTGTTATAAAAATTGAACATTTTACATATTTCAACTACAAACTATTTTGAAAATGATTTTTAAATTTTGTCAAATTTCAACTTAAAAAAAAAATCGTGCCTATGTATCCTTAATACTTTTTATTTCTACTACAACAATTTATGAGGAACGTCTTACTAAAAGTTAAAGCTTTTTGTTCCAGCAAAAAATATTTAGATATCTACCAGTATGAATAGAAAAAAAAATGAAAATTTTATTAATACGTATCTTAAAAAAAGTCAAATGACTGTTTGAAACTGTTATCATATATAGAAAATGATAAAATGAACATTTAATGAAAATTTCAAGTATTGAGGTTATTTGTTTTTTAATTATCCAAGATAAGGAATCTGTAAATATTGGAAGCATTTGAATTTTAAATGCTCATAAAAAAATAATGTGACATGACAGTGTGCATTTTTCAGGAAGAAAAACTATGTAGAAATTTCACTGCCATTTTATATTAAATTTTCAAAACTAAATTTTGTCGAATACTAGTTTTGGGTAATTGAATTCCTTCGCAATTATTTTTCTTCCTTTTTTGATGCTTTTGATAACTACTTAGATTTTTTTACGTTCAAATCCCCATCATTCGTACTAACTAACCAACTATAGATTCACTTTACTACCAGAAAAGAAGCTAAAGTAGAAAATGTAAGCATTTTTATTGTTCTAAAAGGTAGTTATGAGTTTATGACAGACACAAAAAAAAATACACAACATTGTAAAATCAAATCCATTGCTCCAATCAGAATCCAAAATGGATCGATTACGCCATAAAATAACTTTCACTTTTACTTTTAATTTGTATAATTGAGAAACAATAAATTTGACAAAAAATGTCACTAATGCCCTATAGTTCGAGCTTACACTCATTTTCATCCCATTCTCATACTTCATTTCGTATATTCATCAGTCATAGGCCTAAGGCTTATAGTCATTTGTCATTGACAACAAATAATAAAAATACATAAATGTTTTTTTCGTTCACAGATTATGCAAAATGTAATAATAGAAAAGCAAAATTTACCGAAAACATGCCTATTCATTTGATTTGCTTCAATACCTACATAAACAGAACGTCGTTAACAATACCCAGTCCGGCTGCATTTCTGTTTGATTAAACAAAAGAAAACGGTGGCCAAAATATAAACATTGTTATTCGTCATACATACTAATAATACAATAATACCATAATAACTAACGAATATATTCATCACCGTGTTCCCATGTCCCATACTCCCATCGGCTGTAGCTGTGACCTATAAATATTACTACACTTACACACATGTAGGTATAATGATGTGTCTTATGTGTCTATTATAGGTACCTACTTCAGCTCTTAAAATATTAAATATTAAAATTTAAAACGTACCAAAGCCGGATCCTAGAAGGCTAGGAAGGGGCAATAATATGTAAGTGGTCAATTTCTAGTGAGAAATTTCCCTTTTGATGTGGGATGTGGGGCGCAGATCATGAAATATGACGTTCATTCTAAAATTATTGATGTGTTTAAAGTCTAAATTAAATCAAAATTTATCAAACCGTGACAATACAATGGTTAAATATTTAAATGTGTACACTAATACCAAGGCAGGCAGGTTATTCATGGTAGGAAGGTGTCTGTTGATTTATATTTTATATCCTCAATGTAATAATAATAATAATCGCTACGAATATAAGTAGACATTTTTTTTTTGCACACGCAAACAAAATACCTACCCATATAATATTAATTCATAGGTAGGTAAAAGTTCGGACCACGGTAGTACCTATATTAAATAGGAACCTATCCAAGTATCCAACGGACAATATATTATAGACCTACCTAGACACGCGATGACGTGTAGACGTGTATTAGGTACTTATGATTATTATAAATATACTAACTCACGACGATGGTGCGCATTTTCAACCACGGCTGATCAATTGTCGACCATCAATGGGTAAGTACTAAGTAGGTACTCTAAGTAATTTATCAAAAACAAAAAAAAAATGTCACTAAAATTCATCATCTATACTGCAGGTCGGACACTGAAATTTGCAATAGTGCATGACTGTAGAGATTAGTGCGCTAATGTAATATGCGTATTTCCTATATATATAATACTATTATATTTTGTTAACGCATTACGTAACGTGGCCGAATTAAAAAAAAAACAGCGAAAAAATACGTCAAAACTCTTACTTGGCAGACGGTAACGGTAGCACTACGGTAAACAATAAAACACAAACAAAATTGTACAACTTTATGTACAACATGTTCAACGCGAATGCAAACACGCCGTAGTATGCGCGTCGTTATATGGTGTGCATATGCCTAATTTTCATTTTGAATTCGGTTTATTTTTTTTAGTATTATTATTATTACTATTTTATGGCCGCCGTTAATATATTAGATACCTATAGTGTCAGGTGTTAGGACCAGTTCACGAGTCGAGCTGACGAGAGGGGAAAAAACAAAATATCACTCGTTGAACTTGGTTGTAGTAATGTAATAGCTACACGAAGTACCTACATACATAATAATAATTAATAATTATACTAGTAGCAGCTACCTAAGAGTGTGGCGTGTCGTACGTATGCCTAATTATATTTATTTTTATTACTGACTTTTTGGTTTTAATCACAAATTCATGAAGAATTAATACAAGTACTCATTAAGTGGTTACCTACCCAACGGGTAATATAATTTTAAAGTAATTTTAAAATAGTACCTACACCTAGCCATACTACACAACATATACATTTATTTATTTTTTTATTATTAATTAACCAGCAGCAACATAGGCCATTGGGTGAGTCATTATAAATTATTATAATATACATCTAAAACTCAATCGTAGATAAATAGATTTCGAATTGAACTTGTACAACTACAGTGGCGTATTTGGGAGGGGACAACAAGCGGGATATATCATAATCAGTCTTTATCGTTTATTTACTGTCATAGAATAAAGATATATGTTAACAGTTAGAACTACGGACTAAGATACAGGGAACTTATTCTTGGGGTTGAAAAACATATTTTGCTTTAGTCATTTATCCATGGTAAGAACTGTTCAAAGGTTTGGCACCATTTGGTATTTGTCACAACTTTTGAGTTATTATTTGTTTGGCTAATTAAAATGTTGTGGACATTAGTGCCAACTAAAAATTATATCTACATGGCTAAATTTGTATTACCTACTTGATGGATATTTTTTTTGTAGCAAATATTTATTTTTCTGTTAAATAACTTTTCGTTCATTTTAATTGCATTTACTATTCATCCAAATTATATTGTGATGCATTATTTTCTCATTTTACAGTCCTCTGTAAATTTGTATTGATACTCATTGATTCACTTTATCAAACTGAAACTTAACAATAAGAACATAAACTGTGTTTGTATTTAGAATATAATAAAAAATAAATAACCATAATTGACATAAATTATGAGGGTGTCAATTTAAAAACTGGGGGCACACCCAAACCCAACTTTTCACATTTTTTGAAAATTTAACATGTTTATATTGTTTCAGTTTTAGCAAAAATGGAATACATATTAAATATTAGTATTGAGGAGGTATTCCTTATACCAAAATCAAGTTAAAATATTTTGTACTCTCAATGTTCATAAAAAAAATTGTCATTTATTGTTGTGCTCACCAACAAAACATGTGTTAAAGATTATTTGAAGTGTAATAACTAACAAGTAATAGGTCCCTTTTTTGCCTGCATAGAAGAGTACATAAAAATAAATCATAGAACTTATACTATGTATAATTGCTGTTTTTAATTATTCATTTCTTTTATCTCTAAATTATATGAACATACAAAAAATTGTCAAGGTTGAACAAGGTAATAATAATAAAAAAAAATTATTTTAGTTACACAGAATATTAATAATAATTAATTTTTTTGTACTAAAGGATTAATTTTATTTAAATTTGTATGTAGAATGTATGACCATAACGAGAATATTGCAATTTTGAATACAAATAATAACGTAAAACTAAAAAAAAAAAACAAATTAACAGTCTCGTTCAGTCTTAGGTAAATGTTATACATGTCTAAAATGTTATCAAGTTAAGAAAAAAAACAATTACAACCTCAAATTGAATAGGAGCAGTGGTATAAAAGTACAAAATGCGTTAACATTGTGCTTCATTCGTTTTGGTACACATCTTTGTTTTTTTTTTTATGAGCTTCGATGAGGTAAACATTGAAAACAATTTTTAAAATAAATCAATATTAATTGACAACAAATTTAAAAATTCAAATTATAAAGAGCCATTAAGATGTAATGTTAAATTACTAATAACGTTTACATTTACAGGGAAAAAATAAACTATACCTAAACGAAAATTAAAAAATCTGTGTAGGTACATTTGGCGGTGATTTGGTACCATACACAGGCACACAACTCAATGTCAATCATACAATTGGAATAGAAGATAATGTTTGATTTGGGTATATACATTCATTAAATATATTTTAAAATGTTTCTCACAATATTATTGACAATAATAATTAGTGGAATGATTTGATTGGCTCCAATTGATTTGTTAATATAGGAATTTGCATTTTACAGAACGCACGTAGTTTTCTTACAATTTTTAAGTTGACAACCAAACAAAAATAATAAATATTAATTTAAATACATAGAAAGTTTTTATTTTGAGTGGAACCTTGTTAGTAACTTTTTTTAAAAAAACTATGATTTTAATAAAACACCTATTAATAACATATTTTTATACTCTAAAAATTAAAAAAATTATTATAATTATTTATAAAATATTATACAAAGGATATGAAATCTGTGAACGCAGTTTCTAAATATTGGAATAGAAAAAAATTAATCGCCTTGGAATATTTTTTGAATAATGAAAGAACATTATTAAGCTTATGTGTTACTTTAAAATCAAAATTAAAACAATGTGGACATGTGAATATTACAATTATTTTATAAAACTAAATGTTTGTTACTAATTATTTATTTACAAAAACATATTATTATTATCTATAACAATATTGTTTTACATAATATGAAAAAAGGAAGAATTATAATGGTTACTTAATCTCTTAAACTGAGGAACTAGTAAAAAAAAATATCTTATTAGGGATTTTGGGACGACCCCTGCCAAGCACGATAACGACATTTCTTTAATTTTTGTGGGCCAAATACATAATTGAAAACGAGCCAGTTATCATTGACTAGACTATGATTTAGGATAGACTATTAAGCACTTAAAAATGTCAATGTTATAATTATCATTCAAAGAAAACTGTACATATTAAGTATTTCACTTCTATAAAAAAGAAACAAAAAGTGGGTTAAGGTACTGTCATAAATTATATAAACATTACTATACCCAAGGATATTTAAATGGAGAATACGTGAAACAAACGTAAAGCTAATAAAAAAGAATAATTTGTGAAGTTTTTAAATTAACACAAGATCATAATATTAAAAACAACTCAACAAATGTTTAAAAGTTAAAGAAAATAAAATATAACATACAAGACCTTAAAAAACTATAAAACCATAAATAATAAACTGATGATACAAATTGCTTAATATCTATCCTCCACAAATGTTTGTTAATTTTCAATAATCTGTGCTCAAATTCAAAATGATAGTATGATAACATTAAAAGGCCATACAAAATAAATACTTGCTAGAACATTACAACTCTGTAATCTGATAGGAAGTGTCAGGTACAGGTGCAGGTCTTGCAAATGTTGACAGTGAACTGCCACTTATGGTCGATATTTGTGTTTGATCGGCAGAGGTCGGTTCATTTCAGTAGAAATCCGAAGATTCTAATGTTTTGCATTTACGGCTTAATGTAGAGTATTGACGATCATTAGACTGATTAGGTTTGCGGTTGTACCCTAGAGTATTGGAATAGGTTGGTACGCCGCGGAATGATGGTGGAGGATGAGGTGCACCACGCGCACCTGGATGTTCGAGTGTGCGGAATTTACGGTTTAAAGTAGCATATTGTGGCCCAACTTTTGATGGACCGCTCTCGTGCATGTAACCACCATTACGGCCATTTAACGTTGCTATACCACTACCCATTCCGTATTCGTCTCGTGGTCTAAAAATTAAACAAGCAATACAGTTAGTATATTCATTTAAACTACAAACATTTAAATAATGAACATTCCCTAGAATTTGAAATATCCTACATAATTAACAATAATAGCAAAGCTAACAAAATGTATCTTACATTCCACAATTAATTTACATTAAACTAAAATATAATATAAATAATAAGATCACAAATTACTTTTTATACACAAAAAAAAATGATTACATGCAAAGCAATAATTTTTCTTAAACTTTTTTCATATTCACTATACAAGAAGACAATTTTTATTTTAATTGTTTAAGTCTTAAACTTTAAGATATAATCCAATATATTATATGAAACATAAATTGTAGATATAACACCATTATTAAAAATAAAGGTTATGAAAATTGTAAATATAAGAAAAGTTAGCATACAGAAAGAGTAGAATAGATATAGTCTAAAGCAATTTTCAAATTATTGAGTATGTTTAATGAAATAAAAAGCAAACTTTAACAAAAGCCTCGCTGAAGATTCATAATTAATCAGGTTTACAAATTTAAAAAGTCAAGAAAAATTACAGAAATAAATAGTTATTATAACTGTACATGATGGTAATATTTATTTTCATTAACAATCAAGTTTTTATATGTACCTTATTTATTGTAATCACTTTTTTTTTTAATTTCAGAGTTCTTCACATATTTTTTGTCAATTATACTAAGTCTTCATATTTCATAATCGAAATATATTAGGATCTATTACTGGTGTGTATTTTGTAATGGTTATATGTGTTAATGTTATTTTGTTTTCTTTTTACATGTAAAGCTAAGCTATTTATCCAATTAATACTACAACATAAACATACCAGCGACATGTCATACATACAGTTATCTACATTTTTAATACTACAAACTAATCATGCAATTAATTATTTTGAAATAAAATAAGTAACTAGTCACTTGTTTGTTCAAATAATTGTATTACAGAAAGCTTCAATATTATTATATACAATGATGGAATCATGCACTAGTAAAAATACATATTATACAACAGCCATAAAATACTAATTTAAATTTGATATTACTTTGTTTTTGTTTCTACGATGGAAGAAGTAAGAAAATTCAATGTCAATTAATTATTGCCAGAAACAATTAAATCAATCAAGTAGATAGACATTTAAATTATTGAAGCTAGCAACAAAAATTAAATTGCTGAAAAAAAATGCAGAAGAAAATATGGTTATTTAAACACAAGAAAGATGTAATTAAAAATACTATTCTTGATGAATGTTTATTTTAATTCCGAAAGTGTGTACTGTGTACTAATTTTGTCAAATGTAATTTATGATAGGTTTTTTTATAAACTGTCTTTTTTACTTTGGAAACAGAATATATGAAAAATAAACTAATAAGAAAATAATAAGATACCAAAATAATCAAACAAAAACACAGACAGTCATGCTGGGCGGTTTTGAGCGTGCTGAGCAGGCGTCGGATGCGAAATAAACAACGGGTAGTAGTACGACCCTTGGTTTCGTGTAAGTGTAGACATCTGATGTCCATGAGATTGTGAACTGCTTGCTGTGGATCCTGGTCGTCCCAGGAAAGGATCTCTTTCTTCTGCTTTTGCATAATCTTGTCTAAAAGGTAATAACACAATTAAAATGAATTAATATTATATAAATTCTATAGCTTTTAGAAGTGCATACAGACGGAAGTATTTTTTTAAGCAATTATTAGACTTTGCTTGGTGGACTTTATCAAAAAGTCAACATCGAATAAATCATCATTTGAGTTAATTGTATTACCTATTCATAGTGTGTAATATAATATGAATCTAAGCCCAAGTTAACTCAAAATGAATTAACAAAAATATTTAACTCAGCTCATACTCTCGTCTGTACATGCCTTTAAATTTAATCTTTATAAACATACTTCTTCCTTATGTATATCCATGTATGAGAATCTAGCCACACCAAAATTGTAAAGAATATCCCAGATACTACACTGGCTAGTAACATTAATGCCAATCCAAACCTACAGTTTCAAAGTGAAAATAAATAATTAAATTAAGAATATATTTTTTTTTTGTATAAATAACTTACAAGGCAAGATCACAAGAGGCATGTAAAGCTCGATTGTATTGTACGTGTATTTGTCGACATTCAAGTGAAGCAGGTAAAGCAGAGACCATTCTAGCAGCGTTTTCAACATCCATTCTCATTTTTTGTAATAACAATGGCATATCTTCTCTAGTAGTCGATGAGGAATATAAAGTTGTAGCAAGACGAGTTACAATATCAAGCTGGTAGTTAGTTGCATCTACTGAAGTTGATGCTTGACGTATTGCCATACTAAATGGGTTGGTCCGAGTGCTACCAGTTGGGTTATTACTACCTTCACATGTTGTATAGAATGATAATGTGTCTGGACGTAGAGACGATGGAGTCCAATCACGTTCCAACCATTCATTTGGATTCATACAAAAGTCACCCAATGCCTACCATAAAAAAGTAGAAATATCAAGCCGGAGTTATAATAAATTACAATAATTATTAAATATAATTTTTTAAATATGTATTTCTTACAACTGCAGCAGTTAAATAGATAGATGCAGTAAGCCAGGATATGATGACAGCAAACAGCCCAAAAACAGAAAACCTGAAATGAAATAATAAATTCACAGTTAATTAGTAATTGTTTTTATGGTATTACCACATAATAAAAAAATAAATTTCAAATCCATACATGATTAAAGCACAACGAGAATGTCTGGCTACTCCAAACAAAAGAATGACACAGAATACCAATAGAATACTAAGAACACCCATTGTCAATGGCCATCTATAAAATTAATTTAAACACAATTATGTTTTATTTATTCAACAAATCATGTAATTTTCTCACCTTATTGTTTCCATTAAATACACATCATCAATAAAAGGAGTTAGATTAACTCCACGCAAAGAATTACTGATACCACGAATATTTGTCAAAGTTGAAGCTGCGTTGCCAACTAAAGTGCCAAGAGCTGTAACAATTTGTCCTCGAGCAGTCAAATTAGCGACTGGTGAATCAATGATATCACCTATATTTGTTAGTTTGTCATGAATATTCACTTGAAGCAATATTTCAATATCTGATGTCTAGAAAATACATTTTTAAAAACATAAAAATTATTAAATCTGTAGATACTACTGTACATTTGTTATCTCACCTGGTTTTTAACACTAATAACTAAGTCATCCAAAGCTCTAGCTGATGTCAGAAATTGAACAACTCCATTATGTAAATCGTCATTACCATATAAGCTAACGCCAACAGCACCACTACATAAAGATAAAACACTATGATTATCTATTGAAAAAAAAACAAAAATATATACAATGATTACCATGATAAAACAGTAAATATTGCTAAGGTCCATTTGAGCACAACAATACTATGCCTTGGTCGAGGTTTTCGATCACAGCATCTTGTCATAAGATAAATTAACAATAAAAACATTGTAATTATCAACCACACGGAGGGAATAGAACCCAGAATACCAAGTGACTGAAACATAAAATTTGTTATAACCATGCCATTTACATACAATAAGTTTGTGTAACTTACTTCCAAATAAAGTTCACTCCAGGGGGCAAATGCAGAGTTAACATGGTGACCACTGACATTTAAATGAGGGAATGAATGGAATAAATGTGCCAAAGCTGGCGTTTTATAGGTAACAACATTCTCTTGCAACATTCTAGCCATTTTTTTGTCTTTTATGTTTATTCTTATACACGCACGTACTATAAATTAGTTTCTATCTGCATTTTTTATCTAAAAAAAAAAATTATAAATTAGTTGAAATAATTTGTAAAAAGTGTTCAGCTATATTTAAATATTTTTAAAATATAGAGGTAATCCTCATATCACATAATAGTACCAATAGGTAAATAACTTATACATATTTAAGTAGTTTTTTTAGGTATAATTTATAAACAAATTTCACATATATTATTATATTAGGATGAGATATTTTTAAACGATGCAGAACTTCTGTGCTGTGAATTGACTCATTATAACTATGACTGATAACCATAACATTTATAGAACAACAAAATACAATCAAGGGAACTGGAACTTCTTTCCAATGGATATCATTTATTATCAATTTATGAGCACATCTTTACCATTTAGTCATTGTACAAAAAGTTTATAATACTTTCAATATTATTAATTACCTATCAAAATACATGCAATAAATCATCTCAAATATAATGTTTTTAATAGTTGACGATTATTAATTTTATTTATTTGGTATAGGTAATTAAATACAAAATTCTATTTTGACACAAAATATTATAATATACACTCAGACAAATCTTTGATGTTACGAACAAAACATACCATTAATCATATTCAGCATAATACCTAGTATAAATCCAAGTAACTTATCATTGCTTGTCAAAATAAAAAAAAATTAATATTAGATATTAAACATTGACTGGTAAATATTTGACAAACAATATTAAGGAAGATATGAAAGCAGTAAATATAATAGCAAAATAATTATTAACTTAGTTTTCTGTATAATAATTAAGTTACCTGACACTAACATTTTTTTTTACTTGCCACCTATCATACCTGCTATATTGATATTATGAATGAAAAATATTATTATTAATTTAGGAATTACCAATTCTTACCAACTTAATTATTAATTTTAAAATTTAATATTGATTTCTACAAAACATTTTTTAAATTTCTAAACGTATTAATATAAAATCATTTTAATAGGTAAAAATTTTAAGTAAATCAAACAATTTAAATTATTTACAACATTTTTTGGTTAATATTCAACTCTTAATTAGGTATTTAAATTCATCCTAATGATACATATTTTAAAGATAAAATAATCAGGTAGGTATTTAAAGAGTAGAGAAAATATTAAAATATTGAACTACCACTTTCATAACTTTAAATTAAAGTATAAGTAATATTAGGCTAGAAAAAGGATATTGTATAAGTTTATAAAAATAATTAATAAAAAAATGTTTATGAGTCATCACATTGTTAGTTTTTCATAGAACAACATGAACTTCAAGGTGTTTTTAGACTTATAATAAGAGGACAAACAAAAATCATATCTTACCGACTTAACTACTATGTACCTACAATATAAATAAATATATTATAATTTAATAAAAAGTATTACAATGATTATTTAAAAATAACTAATACCATTAAACCACATAGGTACCTATCTAAACTTTATTTTATAATTGAAACAAAAAACAGCATTATGAAGTACCTAGGTACCTAGGTATAAGATGAAACATTTCATTTTTCTTATCAATAATATGAAAAGAGTACTGTTTTGTTCGGATTTGTTTTATCATCTCCTCATGTGTGAAAACTTTATTCCCCAGCCACTCAAGTTTGTTATCTTGCTGCCATCCAAATAATAAATATATCACGTTAATAATCACTAATTGGATGGTTAAATTTTTTTTAAGTGCCAACATTACTGAAGGTACCTAGTGTCCTAGTACCTACCATCAAGGGTGCCAGAGGAGCCATGCCCACAACTATTTTAGTTATTGTTAATTGTTTCATTACTTGTAAAATTAAAAAATTAAAATAATATGTGACGCACCTACTATCATGGATTTCTTACTTCCCCCCCCCCCTAGGTTTATATTTCTGCCAGTGCCCTTGCCTCCCAAAAGTATTTTTTAAGGAAACATTAAGCCTCTTAATTTCTATCTTAATTTTAATTTTGTTTACATAATTATTATTTTACCAATATTACCTTAAGACTAATTTATATTTATAATAACACTAGCTGCCCGACCTTCCTCCGGAAGGAAATTATTTTTTTATAATTTAATTAAAAAACATAAGACTATTTTTTGGCTATACAAATAATACAACGATTATAAAATAAAAAATAAAAAAAAAAAACAGACATCATTATTGTTGAATATATGAAAATAATTGGTAATTAATTAATTAATTATTATTATTATTATTATTATAATGAGGGTTCAAAATCAAGTTAGATTCTTATATATACAGATTATATAGGTAGTTACATACACTTTTCTTAAAAATATGATTATTATAGGTACCCAATAAAAAATGAATTACTATCACTTGGCAGTGGCGGCGGGATATAATACTATTTGAAGCAATTGCTTCATGGCTTCATAGCTTTAACATGGTAAATTATCATTTGATAATGTTTTTTGATGTAATAAAGGGGATGGTTGATGGTAAAAATATTAAAAATGTACAATTTGCTTCAAAGACTCAAAAAGTTCGCGCCGCCACTGTCACTAGGTACAATTTTTTATTATTATTAAACATATTAAAAAATGAATTAATTGTCATTATATACCATTTATTATTATTACTATTATTATGAATCGCTGCAAGATAATAAACTTAAGTAGCGGGGAGATAAAGTTTACACGTGTCTGGATGGGATACAACAAACCAGTACCTATATAGGTATCATGAAAAGTTATGAAGACTAAAAGAATATTTGTTTTTTATATTTTTATAAGCATACCTAAACTTAATACTATGATACATATTAGGTATATTTTTAATATTAATCAAGGTAGCCCACTACATTAATTATTTTCGGTACCTATCAATTTCTAACTAAATCGCTTTTAATCACATAGCATTAAGGTCACAGTAATCCATCAAAAATTTTAAAATCTAATTATCACAAAAAGAGGGAAAACACGAACTAGGCTCTAGTTTGATTGTCTAAAAAATAACATATTAAGTTATTATCTGTTACCTATGCGGTAAGTACTTACCTAATGTAATGTTAGTAGATATAGGTACTTAGGTAGACTATAAAAGTGCAGTAAAAAACATTTCTTACCAACAGGCTATTAAGTATAAGTTTCTCAAGTTATTGAATAATGGTGATAATTAGGAATTAATTTACAAGTAATTAGTTTAACTTCAGTTGGATAATATTGGATATGACATGAATTTATTGTACAGTGAAAAACATACAATATTATCAAAATGATTGTTGTTTATTAATAACGCTACCTATAACCACCATATATTATAGTCTATGCATAGTCTGAGGACAGTTTTTTTGATATTAAAAATGATTTTACAACACTTAACAGTGTATAATATGTACCTAAACATTCTAGATTAAAATAATTTAACACATAACTACATAAGTATTAGATAAACTAAAAAAGCAATAATTGCATATGGCAAACTGTGTATGTTTATTCAGTTGTGTATCTTAACAACCTATTCTTCAAAATGATGCATTTCTGCAATAAAACATATATAAAACAATGGATTTTAAATTAGAGGACGCTGAACCTACATATGTGCTGACTCTGTCTTACTAACGTAAGCATAGTAAATTTTTGATTAGCAGCACTAATCTTGTGTTATTAGATTTAATATTAGAATAAATTAGCCCTGAAATTAATTTATCATCAAACTCAAGAAGAATAAAAAATAAAAAAAGATTGTATCTTAGCATTACATTTGAGTTCAATGGTAGGTATGTGAGTAGGTTAGGTTATATTATATTACCATGCTCAGTTATGATTTTTTAAATAAGTAACGCATGATAGGTACACTGTTTTTAATACATAATCAGAGTTTTATTGCATCATAGAATGTCAAAGTAAACTCATAATATAATCATATTATCAATTCATACTTGTAGTTATCTTATTAAAAATGTTTGTACATAAAAAAAAATTGCCAGTCGCCTCTTCAAATAGGTAGTCTAATCCTCGTAGAACAACCATGTTACTTAATTGACGATTGATAAGCTATTTGCTCTTTATGCAACCACAATCGATATAACACTGGATTTCAGATTAAAAAAAAAAGACAATATTTGAACACTCATAATATTAAAGTCAGGTAGGTACTTAAACGAACATTTTTAATTGGTCAGTAGGTTAACAGTGTGAATATCGCATAGACAATATAATATTAAACAGAGGGAATCGTAGCGTTATTTTTATGACCATCTCGCCGACAGGTGTTACGTTTAAGAAGTCTGAACAATCGGCTGTACCCAAGTAAAGACAAGGCAACCATACGAATAGGCGTACTACGACCGACAGGCAACGGCCACAATATACGGTGCCAAGCGGCCAGGTGTAAGGGTCGAGTAACTATCCACCCAAGGCCATACCCCGACAGTGGGTACACCCAACAGCGAATTACACCCCGTCGAAGTGCGGGGAACGGTCATCCGGTGTTAATCTGAGCCGTGGAGGAGGAGAAACGAACGGCGAGGCCGGAAGGGTAGGTACAAATGGAAAACAACTCAACTCACCCATGGCGTGTAGGTCGACGGCGATGGGGCTGCCTTTTGCTGACAGCGGAAGCGGAGTCCGTGGTTGTCGTCTACGACCAAGACGACAGCGATAACACCAGCGAGGACAACACCGCGGTCATCGGAAAAGTCGGACGACAGGAGTCGGCGACGAAGACACACGCACGACAGACTGGTTTATCGATCGGCAACGGGCGCGCGTAAACGTCGTCGTCCGACCGCGGAAGTTGCGAGTGTGAGACGACCGCGATTGTCGTGTCGGCGCGGCGTCGTACTGGCTGCTGGTCGTGGTAGGGAAACAAACGGGACGACAACCGACGAAATAATAATTGTCGTCCGAGTGAAAATCGGAGGGGAAACGAGACGAAAATAATGAATTTAAAAAAATAAAAAAATAAAACAACAATTAACAACAACAATAATAACAACAACACGGCGGCGGCAGCGGCGGCGGCGGCGGAGTCGCGGAGACGAACGAGCCTGTGCGTTAACCCAACCAGTAACCGGTCGGCGGCGGCGGCGGCGGCGGTGGCAGTGGAGACGTCGGACCGTCGGCGGTACGTGTTGTGTAACGCGCTACGAGCGGACGTTGCCGGAAATGTCAATTGTCGCGTCGGCGGCGGTGTCGGACGTCGGTGTGTGACGCCATTTTAGAAAATCATTACGACGGGCTCGGGGGCGCTGCGCTGCGCCGCTGCTTTTGCTGCTGAAGTGCTGAGTGCTGACTGCCTGACTGCCGTCGCGGTCCCGGTGCTCGGCGCTGCTCTCGCCGGCCGCCGCCCGGCGCTCGCCCGGTCCCGTTCCCCCGTCGCGCAACGGTGCTGCCGCCTGTCCCGATCCGGTGTTCCGTTGATATTATTTCGCAGGGTCTACGCCCTTAGTCCCGACGCGCCGCCGACGACGGCCGGTCCCGCGCACGCATCCCCCGGCCGCCCCCGATCGTCATCCACCCCCTTGGATTTCGAAATACGTTTTTTTTCCTTTTCCTCCGCTCGCTCTCGCTCGTTGCTCCGTCACCACCACACCGCGGGCACAGGCACTCGCGGGCCGCCAAAGACTCGTCTCCAGCAGTACTGTACGCCGTGTTATTCGTTAATAATATATATAATATTATTACGTCAGACGTGTGTCGTACTGTCGCAACACTCCCTCTGCCCACGACCGGTTTTCCGTCGCGTCGAGATTTCGAAATAATATTCGAATGATTTTTCCCGGTTCGAGCGGCATCCGAGTACGTCGTCCTACGCGCACAAAATATTATATCACGACGACGTATAACGCGTACCTAATAATAATATGATTATTATTATTATTATTACGGTCCGCATTGTGTTGTCGCGTTTTGGGACGTGGCCATGACTGAGGGGGACCCTTTTATTATATTATTATCGTTGTGTGGGGAACGCACGGTCGTTCGTCCGCAGGAAATGTACTTGTACCGGGGCTACTTACCTCTACGGTCTACGTCAGCGTTTCCCAAAGTGTGTTCCGCGGAACCTTAGGGTTCCGTGGGACAATGTCAAGGGTTCCGTTAGATGTATGAGATTATTGAGAAAATTATGTTTATTTAATGTTTGTTGTTCAAAAAATGTTTGATTGAAAATTTTTTTTTTAACTAAGTTTAATAATGAAAAGTCATTAACAGTATCATTAAAATATTATTTGGACTTGAGAGTTTAAGGAATTGATTTTCCTTTTTTAATTTACAAAAATTGTAGTTGAGTTGGATTAGACATTAGGGTTCCGCGAAACACAAACAATATTTTAAGGGTGCCGTGGTCGTAAAAGTTTGGGAACCGCTGGTCTACGTCACCTATAGGTACGAGCTCATTTAATGTATGAAATATAATACGAAATGATTTACACTTCACAGTCCGTTGTTGTTGCAGTATCCACACTTACCCGAATGCGGAGTTTTCGAAAATATAATAATATACCTATAAAACTATGCGTAGGTACACATGCCCATATACTTAAAACTCGCAGTCCGCTGTGCCGACGAAGCGACGACAAAAACCTATGGTATATCGAGATATATTTTTAAATTAGTAATACAAATTACAATTTAATATTATCAATTATCATTTATAATGAATATTATAATATGCCGTAGTGTGTTTCAAATGTTTCATTGATATGATCGATATCCTTTGCGTATATTACGATTTAAGACGTAAAACTAGTTTATCTCATTCAATTATCGACAATAACAATAATTGTTTTCAATTTGAATACAATTATTTATACATATTTAATTGATAATAGTGATATAATAGTGTTCACAGTCCAATGACATTATACGATAATCTTGGTGACTTCTGACTTGGCTACTAATATATAGGCACTATAATTTGTCGGCTCGTGACAAAACTATTAGTCTATTACTAATAGATATAATAGGTATAGTACGATCATAATTCATAGTATTATCGAATTACCTAATTATCACGCGTCGGCGTTGCTGACAATCGGACGAATTGGTGAAGGATTCTATTATAAATTTATCGCCTGATGCCCAGCTTCTCACTTCTCATACAAACCATTAAATTGTGTAATTGTATCGGTGTGATAAATCATCATGAATAGAAAACTATATTTCTACCAAATTACATATATTATTTATTTTAACCAACAATAGATGTACATTTTTAAATCACTTAATTTCATATTCGAAGTATTTTTGAGTTCAATTGAAATAACACGGCATTCTAATCACGTCATAAATATCTATAACTATATACGGTGCACATTTAGGGACAGTAGAGAGACGACTAGGAACTAGGAAGAATGGGTGATTGAGATTTTTGGAGATGATACATTTATAAGATGTTAGGTGGCTCCAAACTTATTTAGGTACAAAAATATTTTTCTATATTTATTGTGAATTATTTAAACTTTTGAAATTAAAATTGTTTTACGATAATAATATCATATTATTTATATTAGGTATTTAGGTATGCGGTTGAGTTGAAATAACTATTGTACTTACTTAAGGAAGCAATTTTAATAAATTGTACAGTAACGTCATGTGTCTGCGGTGGGGGAGGTGAGCCCCTGTCTGATTGTAAAAGCAGCCCACGGTAGGCCGGTGCCCGGTTGTAGCCGTTTAACCATAATTATATTTTATTAGCACAAAAACATGCCTATTTTTACTATATTATTTTGTAATTTCTACGTGTACCAAGAAATTATTGTCACAGTGATAAATTGCCAATATTAGGCATTAGAAATATTAGCATATTACTAATTAATAGAGGGGTCGACGGACGAGCAGCATGTAAATATTACTAATTACTAATTAGTATGTACTCTGTCTGTGCGTGCGTTGTGTGAAGGAAAAGGAACATATAATATTATTGTGGTACTGGTACATTCAAGATACAATAATAATAATAATTTAATTAATATCATCATATAATCACATCTAGTTTTATTTCTAAAATCTAAAATTATAAAACATATTCTAAAAACAACAACCGATCGGCACTCTTATTTATTACTGATTTCAGACTTCTTCCTGATAGTCGTGTACAGTTTCCTATTCTCTATTGTGTTGAGTTTAGTTTAGTATATTAAAATTTATTTTTTCGGAACGTTTCCATTAATTCATAATTGTTTAGTATGGACAAAATATATCTTGTTAATCAATATACAAATTCTCATAATAGTTTGCAGAATTTTAATTTGAAGGTACAATTGTTTTTTTATAAAATGATTTTGTTACCTATTTAATGAAAAGTGTTGAAACGATTAGAGTAAAATATATTTGATTTTTAAAATATGTAAGAGGGAATGGTAATTTGATAAAAATGTATGCAGAGGTGTGTTTGCGGGGGAAGAGATCGGTTCTCATCAAGTTACCCCTCTGGGCTTCTCAAAACTTTTGCCCCTCTCATCTATTGAAAATTGAAATTATGCCACTGAAATTATACATAATTATCACTAGTTATGGGTTATGACTTATGAGTATTTATCATATATGACGAGCAAAGATTACACGGACAGAAATGTAAATAATTCATGTTGGCGTAATTTAGCGGAACCCATAATATGTACATTGGAAACTGGTATGAACTATCGGACGACAGGCGCCCAAAAATACAAAAACGTTAATGATTATATTAATAAGTTTTTTATACAATTTTTAGGTGCACGAATATATTGAAATCTAATTCTTGCAAATTATTACCAATATCGAGTATTGCGAAATTTCCAACCAATGTTGAATAGTGGGTTTGGACATATTTTCTTTGTTTCGCAACATGACCATATTGCATTATAAGTTTCTCACACTATTTCGCCAACTGTACTTTTGCCTATTTTAAATTCAAAAACTAACGCAGTAAACAGTGTCGGCCTGGCATACCACCAAAGGCCCATGAATCAGTTTTTTTAAGGGGCCCGATAATGTTCGGCCTTGGGTAAGTAAACATCATCCCAGACCCTAGATGATAGATATACCTAGTATAAAAATAATTAAGTTACGTAGAGTATTACAATTATACCTAAATTAACACACAAATATGTATAATATTAATATTTTTAATATTATTTAGTATTATATAAATATTAAATAATTAAAAATATAACGTGATAAAATTGCGAATTTGATAAATACCTATGTAGGTTTTGTAAAATACATCGTTTTATTCAAAATTTCTTATACCCTAAATAAAGTTAAATTCATTTATATATTGCATTTTAATTTACGCACTTTTACACATAAGCACCATTAATTAATTGGATATATTTGCATTAAAGTATATACATTTTTATTTAAAAGCTCGTCTTAAAATATTGAATTAAAATGTTAATCAATATAATTTATAGTCCGTTTAAAATTGTATTATAAGAATGCCATTGTTTTCTATAAAATATAATAATCTACTTTAAAAGTTAACTCATTGTTCAATTGTTGAAATATCTATAGATACAATTTTGTTCAAATTTGAACCTTAAATATCCTACTGATATCTATGAAAAATCCAAAGTCTAAAAATTTGCATTTAAAACGCTCATAGAAAAATGAATACCTATTCCCTACATACCTATGAGACTTTCCGGTTAACTTTTTTTTTTGTCAAAAATAGAAAAACTAAGAGGATTGTAATCTTAATCTTAGATAATATAGAAGAAAAATGTTTATGACTTAGCGAAATTAAATTTTCAAACTTTTTGACCAAACAAAAATGTCTCAAATAAAAACAACAAAAACCCGATTTTGTAAAATCAATATACATAATTCATTGCTTTGCTTAGAATCTAAAAATACTTTTTAGCACTACATGTCTCCATTTGAATATTTATAATTTATTATAATATCTTTGTTGTTCGTTTTCAATTAATTTGTATTAAAGAACTTTAAGATGGAAAATGAAATAAAAAAAAAGCATAAGTGAAGAAAAAATGTGAGAAGTGGAGATTTGAGGCACAGAAAAAAACTATATGCTTTTATCGTGGCATTGTCGTTTTTATAAAATTTTTCAATTAAAAGAAAGTACATGGGCTTAGTAAACATTATTAATCAATATTTTACTTGTATTAGTTTTCTTCTTTTTTAGCATAACATACAATGTCAGCCTAGTGCTCCAAAATGCTATTTGTAGATTGAGTTGTTATATAATAGTATATTTATTAAAAGAATATAATATTATTGATTGCCGTTAGGTAAACTTTTATTAAATGTATAGGACAACCAGTATTATAGTGCAGTAAGACGAA